GAGAGAGAGAGAGAGAGAGAGAGAGAGAGAGAGAGAGAGAGTTACTCCACACACAAACAAAAGCAGAGCAGTTAAACTATTGGGACACTTAGGAAGAGATTTAGTGTACTCACCCCAAATGTTACCAACCCAGGACCCCTTGCATTTGGCCTCAGCCCTTCTACACTGTCGTTTTCTGTGGGATCGGACCTACAACAAATATCATCCATATCAAGATACAAATAACAGACTTTAAGATAATCATAAGAACATCAGAGGTCACACACTAACCACAATAAGTCCATAAGAACAATAGATCCTGCTTCCATTGCAATAGGACGCTGGATATTCTCGATCTGCTCCACATGGTTAATTGATCTCCCTATACCACCGTGCATACAAATAATTTTTTTCTCAATTAATGCAGCCAGAGGAAGCCAGTTGAACAATCTGTTGATCCGGTGCCATGTCCATATTCCATCTCTCTCACCCTGTCCAGGAAATATCGAAAGGTCTGAGTTTTCTGAAATTCATTTCATCAAAGCATGAAGCGCTAGAACTTTTGGTAAGATTACCATGCGCTCAATACATTCAATTCGGAAGCCAAAAAGAGCATTAATATCTGCAGCTTCATGATTACCACGAATTAGATGTATTTGATGGGGATGCTCAACCTACTCATTTATGAATCAGCACAAACATAGTTAGTTTATGTCAATGAAAAAGAATAAGACGAGATTGCACCATTCATGATTTGACAAATGGTCCAATACCTTTAAAGCTAGGAGAAGAGTTATGGTTTCCAAGCTGTGTTGTCCACGGTCGACATAATCTCCCAAGAAAAGATAATCAATATAGCTGATAGACATATATTTACAGTTTGCGTAAGATGAAAGCTATTATTTCAGAGTTAAAACTCAAAAGATGCACAAGCTCAATTATTAGCAGTTCCCCTTTATATTCTACAGGTCTCTTTTTTTTTTTCTTCTGGCGTGCATGCATGTGTGATTGTGTATTTCTGTCCAGGCTGCCTTTGTTACATGCATCAATGCAAAACTATTGCTATGTGCATTTATTCAACAGACCAACCTCTTTGAAATAAGAAATGAACTTTTGACAAGCCAATAATGCTAATAGGTTATTATATAATAAAATCCATGAGAAGCAACATTATCAACTTCAGTTGACACCACAAAACTTTCCTGCGGGAGTAACAAGACAATGAAACAATATCTTGCTAGCCATGAATTCAAACAAGATTTCAAATAAACATAGTATAAGTAGTGTCTGAAACATACGCAATGTCTCCAGCTGTAGAAGGTGACCCATACTCATCAAAAAGCCGCATAAGGTCACCAAATTGCCCGTGCAAGTCACCAAATATCTTAATAGGAGCCTTCAGTTGTAGTACGCTAGGTTCGCTTGCAAATACCCTCTCAGCACTATCACAAAGATCTGCAATCTCGTTGCAGTCCAAGAAAAATTGTCTTCTAACTGGAGGCTTCCAACCACGAGGTTTCAATAGATGAGCAATCACCTGGGAGACCACCGAAAAGCAGCAAAAGGGTATAATTTCATCAAGTTTCTAGTAATGTAAATAAAACAAATAGAACAAACATCACAATTTCTGATTCTACTACTTCCAACAGTCATATAAGTTGCTGAAAGAATTTTCAAGAAAACAATCAGCAAATGATGTTCGACATATCTTTTACTATTTCAAATTTTTAAAGAAACAAGAATCCTCTGATGTTTTCATAAAGAGCTTGATGGCACGCAGCAATTTGAAGATGAAAGGAAAGAAGAGGCAAACAACACCGTGCCTTAGCAAGCAGTTCAATTCATAAGTCATCACTTAACATAAATGTGACTGTTGACCCAGATAACACATTAGAGTATACTTTAGTCTTCCAGGAGAAATACCTTCTTTGGGACACTGTTGATAGACATCTGCCGATCTAAAAGTTTCCTAGCAGCCGTTGCACTTTCCGGAGTTCCATAACTGACGCGCCTGCCTTCATTTTCAAACTGATCAATTGAAAGCTGTCGGACCATACCACCTAAAGCACCACCAGTCTCTGCTGCCACAACCACCTGCAAACACACAACAGAAAACAAAACCAATTTAACAACCCAAGTCATACGAAAAGTTAATGCATATCATTATCATAGTACTCACAGCACGATGATGGAGCCTAACTCCAGCAGGGGCCGAATTACTCGACATAGCAGAATCCGGTTTGACCAAGGTTGATATCTGTTTCCCACTAGGGGTCGCCTCTGCCCCACGATCTCTATCGGGAAACTCAACTTCTCCATTAACCTGCCGGGCTTTAGCAGCCGCCAAAGCAGCTGTAATAGCCTCAGCTTCTGCCGCAGCAGCCTCAACTAAGTACTCAACACCTTTGCTCGACCTTCTGAACATCATTGTCACAGCAAGTCTCAAGGAAATTAGAAAACACAAAACAACCAGCACAGATGAAAATACAACAACTTATACAGACAAAAAGCAGTAAATTTACCTTGAACCTTGAAGCGTTGCGTTTTCTGTACTAATATCTGTATAAATATCACCATTTACAGGGGGAGCCACAGGGTTTCCTACCACAACAGCGCCATCCGCAGCATTTTCCAGCACATTTGTCCCATTTCTTTCGTCAGTGAAGTTGTATCTACCTTGTAACCTTCCTTGCTGCACATTAGAAGCAGCTGCTGCTGCAGCTGCATGAGAAGCTGCACTAGTTGTCTCAGCCGCTGCCAGGTCCTCAGCTACTAGCAAGTCATCCAAAAGCACCCCTACGACATTAAACAGTCCTACTGTTAAGGAACGGAATGGTTATGGGACAAATCATATATGGAACTTGTAGTGCACTATGCAACAGTAAGTCTAGATCAAAAGTGAAACATTGGTATGCACATTTGCAACTAAGAATAGCCTCATAAAGGAATAGGGGCATTTGTTGGTATACCGTTAGAAGAAGGCCAAATATTTCAAATTCCAGAAGATGGATAGTGTAACTGAATATTCAAGAGTAATTTTAACCATCTCAACCTGTCACCAGTACAAGGCAAACACTAACCCTACTGCCACGGCAAACTCACACAACCATTGACATTCCAGATCTTCAATTTCCACAAAACATATCCAAATCAAGATTCAGCTTGTAATATTACTTATTTAAAGATCCAATACCATCAACTTTACACAAAAACTGTTTCATCATAACAGAAGTACTCTTATATACAATCTTCCTTAACACAATACCAATCATAGACCAATAACACAATATTAACAGATAATTAATGCAAACATAAAACCGAGAATAGCAACTAAATCAATAACAAAGGTCTCACAAGTGGCTATTAACTGCCCACTTACAGTTGCAAAATCCAAGTGCAAATTTCTAAGTCAAGTAGAGGTAACATGTCTCACCACCACGTAAACCACCATAGATGAAGATCAAATCGCCAACAGCAGCTGCAGCATGCCTACAGCGTCTCGTCAATTCAACTGCTGCGTCCCCACCGGCAGCATCTGCACTGTATCTTCCAGTCCTTGGACTCGTAACAACAGACTTTGTGTCACACCAGACCCCAGCAGCCGTATCCAAAACTAACCAGATAATGAAAGGGGAAGTACTTGTTCAAGAAGATGACCAGATGGAGTAACTTTTTCCAAGACAACAAAACTCATTGACAGATAAAGAAATCTACTAAACAAATAAATAGTACCAGCCACACTTGAAGAATCCTCTACCATGCGCCCGCCACCAAGAGCCCCTCCAGATACGTGAAGGCGTGCATTAACAAATACCTGTAAAGAAAAGTACAGTCACAAGATCAACTAAGAGCAAGCATTATAATCATTGTCCATGGCATCGTGTAACAAAGTACCATATGAACAAGAGATACAATTTGCAACAAGAACAAGTAAATGAAAACTCACAGCAGCGTGCTGATATCTTGGAGATGGTGAGACACCAGGAGCAATGGCCCATTCCCAACGACCATCTCTATGTTTAGCAAGCCCATATGCACTAGCAAGTGGCTGCATAATCAATTGTTTATACAACTCAAATGACAGTGGTTAAGAGAGGTGCAACATGACTAGATAAAATTAAATCGCATAATGAACAAATGGTCAGATCCCGAAAAGTTAAAGACAAAGTTCACCAATCACTTTGAAGAGATGATATTCATTTTATCCTCCAGTTTAACACTGCCATATATAATATACAGCCAGTATTACTACGAGCAACTCAAACACACTTTTAGGCAATAAAATACAGCTAATTATACAGCCTATTTAACACAAAGTGCAGGTCGAGGTCCTTAAATGGCAGGCACTGCATTCCTTGATGAAAATAACCTATGTACAGACAGGGTCAACTGATATGACTAAAAACTTGAAAATCATACTAAGTTACTAACCACACTATTTGCATCCCTCCCACCACAGAGCACAAACCCAGAATGACTAAAAACTTGAAAATCATACTAAGTTACTAACCACACTATTTGCATCCCTCCCACCACAGAGCAGAAGAAGACCATCAGAGCGAGCACTTGCCGTTGCATACCTGCACAAAGTGGAAATACAATATATTATATAAATACTAAAATAAATTCCAGTTTTACCAGGCCAAATTCCATAAATCACATGAAAGAGAATGCAATTTTGGTATAAAAAGTTTGTGTATTGTCCAAAAAACTGAAAAAGCTCAAGAATGAATCTTAAACCACTAGCAGACAATATTTATGTAGTTCAGAACTCATTTTACCACACAATAGACAGAAATAAAGCTCCTAGCATCAAACTTGAGAACAGACTGAGAAAAACCAAGTTGGGAAGGCGTGTTTGCCCGGTGCATTCAAAAAGTAACTGACCCCGATACATAAAGGTTTTGCAGTACATATTATGGCCGAAAAGGAGTGGCGTACTTCCACCAGAAATGATTTTCGACATTTGATGGACTCATAAGGCAAACAAGCACCGTCACGCTTAAAAGATTCTCAAAAAAAGCTTAGCCTAGTTCCAAACATAACTAAATCCTTAAGTACATTTGATTAGATAACACTGGTTGTGCAACAGATATAATGAGATTCCTTTTAGCATCCTGGATGTAAGGTAACGCAAGTCTTACAGGATGATAACCAAGTTGTTAGACCAGCGTGCTTTTAAAGGTCAATGAAAGCAATATATAAGAGATACGAGGCGTGAGGATTGTAAGCCTCTGCGAAGTAGGCCAGTTACAGACTTGGTGAATAAAAGCTGATATTTAATAATAAACTATTAATACAATTTAAATGCTGGAATGTGATTTGTAAGAAAACTTAATAAAGATGGTGATCTAAAAGGTTCGACGCAATAAATTTACAGTTGGGCATGAACTAAGCTCCAAGTTTTTAGGAATATTTAATTTTATGAGAAACAACTTGTTGTCGTCATTTGAACGGGGAATACGAGGTATTTAATTTAGCCAAAAAAATGTGAAAACAAAAAAAAAAAAATCAAAAAAGGCATAATTTCAAAATTGGTCCTATAATTTGACCA